AAAGAACCCCCCTATATAGACAAATGAACTTGAGACTTACTGCTGAATGACCAGTTGGAGTACAGACACGATGCACAAATAACATGCACACTTGATAACAAAAACAGATGTGGCTGTGTCAAATGTGAATCTTCCTACAATACATCATGTATTGAAGCAATGCCCTATGAGGGACGAGATGAGGTCAGTTAAGGAGCATTCTATTGCTGAGACGCTGGGGCCAATGGTCCTACAGGAAGTGGAGCCAGGGGCTGGGGATTTAGCTCAGTGGCACAGCGCCTGCCTGGCAAGTGCAAAGTTGTGATTTTGATTCCCGGTACTGGAAAAAAAAAAAAAAGAAAAAAAGGAAATGGAACTACAAGAAATTTAGGCAGGAATTTGGGAGAGTTATGATATTCTGGAGAAGATGACGTGACTATATTTGAAAACATTTAGATTTTTGTACATGAGTAAATGTGAACTGTTGTACATTAAAAAATAAGACTTCCTTTAAAAATAAGCCCTGATGGTCTGCTAGAGCAAACATTAAATAAGACCTGGTCTCATTTTGGGGGAAAGAGGTAGCAAATTAGTAAATCATGCCCCTGGACATGTCTGGGTGGGTCATGAACATGGGGCCTTGGTTACTATATGTGGTCCCTCACCCTTCCTCTCTGGCACTGCTCCTCTGTCTGCTTCCTGGCCACTGTGAACTAAGCAGCTTTCCCCCGCCAGGTCTTTCTGTTTCTGCTGTGGAGCCAGCTGACTTTGAACTAAACCAGCTGAAAACTTCGAGCCAAGTAAACCTCTCCCCATTTAAGTTTCCATCCCAGCAATGGGAAAGCTGACAATACACGGTCTCAACATGAAAACAACAGCAAGCGCTGCAGACATAGCGCAGCGCAAAGGCCTTGGGTTCAGTCTCCAATATGGCAAAGGAAAAAACACATCCCTGTATTACAGGTAAGAAAGTGAGGCCTGGCATGGTGGCACTCGCCTGTAATCTCAGCACTCAGGAGGCTGAAGCAGGATGATTTCCATGAATTCAAGGCCAGCCTGGGCTACATAGTGAGTTCAAGGCCAGCCTGAACCACATACCAAGACCCCATCTTTAAAAAATATATATACATGAGAACCGTGAAGTTCAACAGTGGGACCAGCATTGAAGGTCTGGACACAAAATCTGCGTCTTCTACACACAATGAGGTCATTGAGCCAAGAGGTGGACACTATTGCTCTCCACCCTCTGCCCCAATCCTCCCACTACACCCTCCAAGCGCTCTGCCACAGGAGTGCTTCCAGACCACCAGCCCTCAAGCCCCAAAGCCCTTCTCCATGCTGTCGTCCATGTTCTCTGCCCAGGACACCCGCACCACACCTTCTGCCCCTGGACCCCAGAAAAGCACCCCTTCCTCCTCTCAATCATGGTTCTCTACCCAGGACACCCGCACCACACCTTCTGCCCCCAGACCCCAGAAAAGTACCCCTTTCTCCTCTCAATCATGCTTTTCTCCCCTGGAATTGGCATTCCAGTCTCTGTCCTTCCAAACAGCATGTCTGCTCTCCAGCTGTCCACGCTGGGTCACATGGCCCCGTCACAGGGTCACAGCTGTACAGCTACACAGTAGATATCAATGTGGGATCACCGCTTAAAAGAAGGGGGGCCCCTTTCCTTACCTGGCCCCAGGGCCTTGGTCTCTAGTCATCCTACTGACTGCTGTGTTCACCCCATTTCCTTCCTTGCAGCCTCATCCCTTCTCAAAAGCCAGAGCTGAACACAGATAAATTCCCTGATGGCTCTGTCACCTTTGTGCTCAGAGGGACAGCAATAGTTAACTGATTGTTCAGCCAGAGAGACTGAAGAGAAGAAGAGAGACTTGGCACTGGAGGAGGTCACCAGCCCACCCACTCTGAGTCAGGGGCAGCCTCTGACATCAGCGGCAGCATCTGCTCAGTGCTCTGGTCTGCCTGTGCCACCTCCTCCCTCCGAAGCGTGGCCATCACTCCATACAGGATGCCAACAGCATGGCCTTGAACATTATCTGCATGGCCTATCCTGTAATAACCCCTGCCTCTCGCCCAGCACCTCCCCTGGCAAGACACGTGTGCATGAGGCTGCACGTGTGCAGGGTGCCTGCCACGCATCTCTGCTCCTTGCCTTTGAAAGGAAAGACTGAATATAAGTACCTGTCTTTATGGAATCTTCGAGGGCTGGAAACGAGGCTTACAGGCAGGTTCCTAAGTCAAAAGACAAGCCAGTCCCCCAGCTCTTTCCCCAGTTGGTCACTCCGTGGAGAAGGAGTGAGAGTCCAGGCTGTGTTCCCTGGGGCTGAGTGTCAGGGTGAGGCAAGGTTTGAGAACTGATGTGGACATGGTGCCCACCTACCACCTGCAAATCAGGACTTGGAGGTAGCCCTGCTGTGGTGCCAGGAAGAAGGGCACCTCTCAGAGGCACAAGCCACTCCTCTAGGCGGTCAGAGGAGGCTTCACAGAGGAGGGGACTGTGGTGGGCCATGAGGACCAGCCCATCCGTTCAGCAACTGCAGCTCGCAGGACCCCTGATTGCTTCACCAGGGGTGAAACAGGGCTGTGGGACTTGCCTGCCCTGTAGGGCTGCAGGCATGGCCCAGTTCTGCCGGACGCTGCCCTTCCATGCCATCTACATGGCAAGGAGCAAGAGTCTGTCCACTGTGGTGCTGGCCTCCCCTGCCTCCCAGCAGTGGTGAAGGACACAGCCTGCTTGCGCACGGGAGGCAAGGCCTGGCCCAGAGGCAGATCTGGTGTGAGTCTTTCTACTTGAAATATTCTTTTTTTTTTTTTTTGTCTTTTTGAGACAGGGTCTCGCTATGCAGTTCAGGCTGGCCTTGAGCTCACTTTGTAGCCCAGGCTGGTCTTGAACTCCCAACAATCCCCCTGCCTCAGCCTCCCGAGTGCTGGGATTACAGGCGTGTGCCACCACACCTGGCTTCGAAATATTCTTGACAGATGGATCAGCCTCAAGGTCAGCAGAGCAGTGTGCAGCGGCCATATTGGCAATAACAAAGATTGACAATCTTAACAGAGGAACCCTAGTTAGACATTCACTCTCCCTAGGCAATTTAAGGCACCGATAAAACTGCTGACGAGAAAGTCCCATGCATTCCTCCCAAAGAGTTCTGACCCATCTTCTCTAAAAGATATGTATAAATCTGCTCATCACCTTCTCTGCTAAACTAAAGGCCTGAGGTATTGTTGTCAAAGTCACAGCTGTAAACACAGAACTCTGAACTCAGTGCAGGTGCTTCTGGGAAATCCGTAAAGTGCTGAATGACCCAGGGGCAGACCTTCTTTAGACAGTCGTCCTTGCTGCCTAGACCCTTTTTCCATATCCTCAAACACTTACTAAATCTCTCACTCTGTGTGAGTCCCCACCTGAAACTTGCCTGCTGTCCCCCTTCACAGAGTACTGTGAGCTAAGTAAACTCCCTTCTTCTCTGCACTCATCTTTTTCCTGCCTGTCTCCCTGACCCTCGGTACACTGTCTTGCATGACCCAGTGTAGCGGCTTGGAGGGGATCTGTCCCTGTGCCTCGGTGGTGGCGCCTAGGACTCACAGAGGCATTCAACCCTTCACGAGTCCTTGCTGAGCACGCAGGGCCCCCATGCTATGAAGACTGGTGTGAACACCCCAGCATGCTGGCTTTTCCACCTTTCTACACATACCAAGCCCCATAGCATAGTTTGTCCAGCCTCTGCTCCCTGGGAAAGCCTGAAGAGGGTGTGAACAGGCTCCTTTAGAATCATCCTTCGCTCCCCTGGACCCAGTCATTGTCTTGACTGACTCCATTTTGCCCTCTGGCTTGTTCTTTCTCTAAGTCCTTCCCAGCTTATCTCACATTCCCGAAACAGCAAGCCCAGCTTGCTTACACACGGGAAAGACCCTGGCTCCACCCCAATCCAGATGCTAACTTCTCATGACTGAAGCCAGATTACTCCTCCATCAGCAAGGATTTTTGCAGGCCAGGACAGTGCAGAACCAGCTGCAAGACAATGATCAACCAGACCTGAGATGATGATCAACTAGATGACAGCTTCCTCACTACTGCTAGACTATGGCCCTACTTTGTCCTGCTACTGTAGAATCCTAGAGCTATTACCAGTCCTCCAAAGCCAGGGCCGAGGACCTTGGTTCTTGTTCCTCCCCAGAGTGGCCTTGCTGAAGACATTCCTTTCTTGTTCCACAATCCCTTGTCTATGGACTCTGAAGGGAGCAGGAGGAAGACCCTAACCTGATGGGATCCCTAAGTCAGCCTCTGGCCTAAGACTCCAGAAATAGGTGCAGAATGTGGCCCCAGCCAAGGTGACCCTGCTTTGGAAAATTATGGGCTGAACTTCTTCAGTTCCATCGTCATCCTTGCCTCAGCACAAACCCTATAAAGAGAATACACTCAGTATGGGGCTTTGATAAAGGGGTTTTCTATCAGTGGATGGGCAAACACAGGAAGAGTTGCATGCACAAGGTGTCTGGGGAGCCACCCAAGGAACCATGTGCACATGGATCGAAGGCCAGAGGACCTGTGTGGCTGTCCCGGCCCTGACGCTGATCACTTGTTTGACCATGAATGAATCATTCCTACCTTCTGAACATCAGGCTCCTCATCTCCTGAGGTCAGGGCCGGGCGAAACTGCCCCCAGCACCTTGCCTCCTCTGTGCTCTGCAGATCCTGTTCCCTTTCCTCGACCAGCGCTTCTCCGAGTGCAGTGGACAGGACACCCGGCCCGTACCACCCCTGGGGCATTCTCTCCTTCATGCAGGCTTCAAGCCTCAATTCCAGCCCTGTCAAGTCTGGAGCTTGAGGACGGGGCTTGAAATCTGTACTTTCAACTTCTGAGAGGCAAAATGTGTCCTTATCTAAGCGGCTCCAGCTCAGCTGAATCGGCATGCTCTCCACTCGCTTCTGCAAGCCCCGCTCCCCCACCCTCAAAAGGCCAGAGCAGCAGCATGAGGCAATCTCTATCCTTGACCCTTTCCTTTGCAAGCGAGCGATGGTTTTTTTTATCTCGAGGGGATGATGCATAGCCTTCAGCCAGGGGCATTTAAGGAGCAGAGCACATGGGGCAGGCCACAACTGCAGGACACAGGTGGACCTTGAGAGGTTCAGAAAGCTGCCCGGAGAGAAGCAGCAGCAGCAGTGCTGCCACATCTGCCAGGCACAATGCTTCTCGCGACCTTCAAGCTGTGCGCCGGGAGCTCCTACAGACATGTGCGCAACATGAAGGGTGAGTGCCAGGTGCTGAGCTAAGTGCAAGCTCTTGGGAAGCAAACGTCTGTGGTGAAAGCCCTAGGTGGAGGCCCAGGCCAGCTGTACCTTACTGTGGGTGAGCCCCGGAAAGTCTCTGTCCCGAGGACCTCGGTTTCCCCCTTTGGAGAACTGGCCTGGATATGAGATGCCCAGGTCTCTTCCAAACGCTCTCCTTTCTGTCCCTCTTTCTGGGCTCCCAATTGTTCTTAAACTACTCCAGATTTCTCCTCCAGGGCTGGACTGGGTGCCTTCTACGGGTGCCTGGAAAGTCCGGGCCACAGTGGTAGAGGGAGAGGGAAGTCTTGACTCCAGCAAGCCTGAGCCACAGGCAGGGAAGCAGGCAGGAGGAGCCAGGGAGCAAACCCGGGAGAGCAAGCGAAGTCCAAGACAGGGGGCGGGGGTGCACTGTACAGCCAGGGGCAGCAGAAGCCAGCTTCTGTGGGCCACTTCTCCAGAGCTCACTAGGAAGAAAGGCCATTTGGGTTAATCTCCCTCTGCCACTGAAGGGGGAAAAAGTCCAAGCTGGAGTCTTCTCCAGTTACTCTGGCTGAACGCACTTGGAAGCCCCACTCAGACCTGCAGCCAGCAATGGGGCCATCCTGGCTACACCCACAGGAGCAGCCTGGCTCAGGCTAGTGGCCCCTTGGATGGCTTATGTGGGCATAAGACCCTACCCACCGGTGAGTGCCTGACCTCAGGGGACAGCTTTCTTTTTTTTTTTTTTGGTTTTTCTCTGGTACCGGGAACCGAACTCACAACCTTGCGCTTGCCAGGCAGGCGCTTTTGCCGCTGAGCTAAATCCCCAGCCCCGGGACAGCTTTCTTGTCTTCTTTAGAAGTAGAATTTTTTTGGTTGAATAGAGCTTCTGCAGCAGGCCCTGGTCAGCCTCTCCAGCAGGGCCAGATCTGTCCACCCAGATGGAAGCAGATTTCTGGGCCCCAGAGGTAGCCTATGGAGAGTGATGTGTACTGCCATTAAAGCGCTGCCTTCGTAGGAGTCTGTTCCTAGTAAGAATGGCCCCTCTAAGTGGCTTTCCAGCTTCTTAGAAACAGTCTCCTCTCCCTCCCTGCAGGGCTGAGGCACCAGGCAGTGCTGGCCATTGGCCAGGAGCTGACTCGGAGGGCACAGGGGGAGCCAGCCCCAGGTGTGTGGATTAACCAGGTCCGGCGTCGGAGCTCACTGCTGGGTAAGTCCTTCAGCTTCCGGGCTTCTGGCATGGGGGGCTGTCAAGATGCAGTGGGTGCCCAAGGCTCTGACTTCTTCCTGCCCTTCCCCACCTTGTTCTAAGACTGTGTTCCCAGCCTAGAGCTACCTGGGCCTGTGCACAGGACCCTTTAGTACTGGACTCAGATCTTCTGAGGGAGAAGCACATCCAAAGGAGATCTAAGGGATGGCAGCTGGTGGGGGACCAGGACAGGGAGGAATGTCGTCTGTCTCTCCTTTCCTGGGTGTCCAGGTTCTCGGCTAGAGGAGCCTCTATACAGCGACCAGGAGCTGGCCTACATCCAGCAGGGGGAGGAGGCCATGCAGAAGGCCCTGGGCATCCTCAGCGACCAGGAAGGCTGGAAGAAGGAGAGCCAGCAGGTAAGTGTGCAGTGGAGAACACTCTGTAGCCTCAGTCCTCCCAGGATCTGGCCTCCTGCAGTAGTCACTGGGCGCATGGAGTTTTAACTTCCCAAGAATATATTCCTCAGGAAGCTTCTCCCTTGTAAGAGTCTCACTGGAGAAACACTGTTGCTATACTCTTAGCTACTGTCCAAATACAGTGTATACCCCTTAAGCTGCAACCCCAGATGGCTCCATGTGCACTAGAAGCCAAATCACTCAGTATCAGCACCCCAGCTCCAAGCACAATGCGCTCAGCCACCCTGAACTAGGGGATGGAAGGGGCTCAAAGCTCTCTGGGGCACTCACTGGGGATCAGTAACAAGGCCTGTCCCAAAAGCCAGGGACTCTTATTGGAGATTTTGGTGGCTTTATCTTCAGCAACAGCTTACATGCTGTCCTTTACCCAAAATTCTACTAAAACCTCCCCTCAAGTTCTCTGACCAAGGGAAATAACAGCAAGTTTGGGAGCTTAGAAACCTGGGATCTGAACCTAGCACTGATCTTTGCTAAGGGCTCAGTGAACTTCTCTGCCTCAAGTCCTTCTGACAGGATGTATTTAGCTGGGGGGAAAACAAACAACAAAACAAACTCCTGAAGATCCCACGAAAATTCTGCTTATACAGTATAATTAGCTGATTATAAGCCAGACATTTCCCATTCCCAGGTCTTTCAGGATCTGAGCTCCTGCAGTCAGGCACTGGTCTTTTCAGCTGGGCCTACCTACATCACCTTCTGCCACCAAAAGGGTCTGCGTGGGTGGGTTACCTCTTCCACTCTTCAGTGGATGTCCAGCTCTGGCCGGAATGATTATTACTGCTGTTTTAACCAGATAGGTCTAGGTGCCCTCATGCTCAGCCTGGATTTCTTTTTTCTGGCCCTCTCCCAACCTTGCCTAGCACTGTCTTGAGACCTAGGCTAGGAATATTTTCCTCTAACCATTACCCTAGGGATCCATTTTCTCCCCGGCAGGCAAATGGGGACAAAGTGCTGAGTAAGGTAGTCCCAGATGTGGGCAAGGTGTTCCGGTTGGAGGTGGTGGTGGACCAGCCCATGGATAGGCTCTACGAAGAGCTTGTGGATCGCATGGAGGCGATGGGAGAGTGGAACCCAAATGTCAAGGAGCTCAAGGTGAGAGTGCCCACGAGTGGGCAGTAGGGCCAGCAGAGCAATCTGAAAGGCAGGCCAGGGAAGAACCCCCACTGTGGCTGGGCCCCAGCCCCGCCCCAGCAGTGTAGTGATCTGGTTTCCCTCTGTCCTGGCAGGTCCTGCAGAAGATTGGAAGAGACACTGTCATCACCCATGAGCTGGCTGCAGAAGCAGCAGGAAACCTGGTGGGGCCCCGAGACTTTGTGAGCGTGCGCTGTGCCAAGCGCAGAGGCTCCACCTGCGTGATGGCAGGCATGGCCACCCACTTTGGAGACATGCCTGAGCAGAAAGGCATCATCAGGTGAGGCTAGCAGCAAGCCTGGGGACCTTTCTCTGCACTGGTCATGGTATGCGTCCAAATCTATGAGTCCCCAGCTCCAAGAACTGAATTCTGGGCCCCACCCTCAGGTTCCTTTTACATGCTCATTTTCTGGCGAGTGTGGTGTTGTATGCCTGTAATCCCAGCACTGGGGATGCTCAGGCAGGAGGATCTGTTCCTGGCCTCCTGCTGTCTATCAATCAAAGAGCCCAGCAGCAGACTCCAGGTTCCCCGCTAGCTACACCACTTATTCTGAAGAGCTGGTAACCATGCCAACCGGCACATAAGGCCACTGGGAAAGGGGACTTCTGATGAGATCTGAAAAAAGGACAACGTGCTCCAGAAATGTGGCAGGAATAAATTGTAGTCAGCATCCGAGAGAACTCTGATTTGTCCTCCTGACTTGCCTTCTATTCATCCGCCAGAGCTGAGCAGCGTCCCACTTGCATGGTGCTTCATCCGCTCGCTGGGAACGCCGCGAAGACCAAACTCACCTGGCTCCTCAGCATAGACCTCAAGGTGAGAGGCACAGCAGAGGCAGTGAGAACAGGCTCCTTCCCCTCACACAGACCACAGACAGACTCCTCTCCCGCAGTGACAGGCACAGGCTGTTGGGGGGCAGTGATGAGTGACGCGGGTGCTATTCCAAAGCCTGGAGTGGCTCCCTTAGCAGGTACATCACAGTTCAAGTCTATGCTATCATTCTAGAAAAAAGGAAGCTTGGGACCAGATACTCACCTTCATCTCAGTGTCAGGAAGCTAAGGTGGGACTGTGAGCTGGATGCTGGCCTTAGCTACACAGCAAGATGCTGTCTCAAAAAAAAAAAAAAAAAAGGAAAAGGAAAGCCGCTAGGTGTGGTGTTACAAACTCATAACATCAGCACTCAGGAGGCTGAGGCAGGAAGATTGCAGTAAGTTTGAGGCCAGTTTGGGGTATATAGTGAGTTTAAGGACAGCCTAATTACAGAGTGAGACCCTGTCTCCAAAAAAAGGGGAAACTTAGGCCCTGAAATCTTAGTGTGAGAAAGGTGATGTAAAAGTAGATTGCTCAAGGTCACACAGCCATGAAGATAGGGGTAGATTTTTGTCTTAACAAATCCTGTGCTTTTGACACCATTGTGACCTTTGAGCAATGTAGCCCGTGACCCTGGTCAACTCCAAGGCCGCACCTGTAAGCAGAGCTAGAAGACCACACCCCAGGCAGCCCATGTCTGTAACAGGTACGGAGGTGTCCAGAATAGAGCAGCACCAGAGATGGATACATTCTCCTGTCTTCCGCTCCAGGGGTGGCTGCCAAAGACTATCATCAACCAGGTCTTGTCACAGACACAGATGGATTTTGCCAACCACCTGCGCAAGCGCCTGGAGTCCAACCCTGCCTCTGAAGCCCACTGTTAATTAAAACACCAGCCTGCTGTTCCCGAGCCTCTGGAGGACCTGCAGGTGCAGCAGGGCTCTATCCCTGCCGGAAGCCTGCAAGTCTAAGATCTTCACCTGCAGATAAGGGAGGAGGGGGAGTTTAGGGTGTGATAGGCCGGGACTGTTAATAGAGTTAGCACCATGAAAACAGCCAGGAGGCTCTTAGACAAAGAGGAAGACTTCTCGTTTCATCTAACGAGTAGCTCTGAATGTAGGCTAAGCTCCAAAGACACTGGTTACAAATTTTTCTGGGCCCTTAGGTGCCCAACTAAAACCACCTGTTGAATGCTAGTGTCTGGTACAGGGGGTGCTGAAAGCAGGAAGTAGGCTCAAAAGCTCCTCTCCCTGCAGGCAGAGCTCATTACTTCCACAGCACCAGTCAGAATAAAGTCCTAAGGCGAGAACTTCAGTCTGTACTTGTTTTAAAGTTATTTTAAAAGAGTCTAATAGAGTATAACCTCATCCTAGAAGAGTCCTAGACAAAGATTTAGTTAAACTAAATCTCATTTAAAGGAGAGAAATACTGAAGATTTGTATCATTCATTTATTTAGAATGTTACCAAAATCTTTCATAAAAAAATAATTTTCATGATAAGCACAAACCTAAATCAGTTAAGGAACTGTAACTGAGCTCTGTAACTGAGGGGCCCCCTGTAATGGGCCCCTGAAGATGATTGTAACTGCAGCTTTTTATCTACCTAATTAAAAGGACAGTACAAAGTGAGATAATAAACAATACTAAGATAAAATTAACACGTTTATAATTTATGATACCAAATAGTACAGCTGTCAATTTGGCTCAGAGCTGCCAACTTTTCTGCTTGCAGGATTAAAATTGTAGCATTTTGGGAGAGGAAGTGGCTAGAAGAGGGGTAATACAGTAATAGCAAGTTCCTTTTTCCACAGTACAGAGAAGTTATGCTTTAAAAATAGAACTGGAGCTGGGTGTGATGGTGCCTGCTGTAATCCCAGGGCTCACAAGGCTGAGGCAGGAAGACTGAGTGTTTAAGGTGAGCCTGGGCTACACAGTGAGTCCAAGGCCAGTGTAGATACACAGCAACTGTCTCAAAACACACAGACACACACACCAAAATCGGGTCACACTGCTACATTTAAGTAGGATAAAAAATCAATTACACCTGAAGCTTTTCCATTCTAGTTTTAATAGCTCTGATAACTTGCACCATTTGGAAATAGGACCCTAGCTTATTTATTAAACAAAATAGAAGTAGCAGAAACACTGGTATTTATTGATATTAGAATTTAACAGTGAAAGGAATATTTATTGTAATTTATTCTGATTATTTCTTAGTCTGTTTTTAGACTGGAGGTCACTGTCCCTCAGGGAGTTCCTGAGGAAGGGCAGCCATGGGAAGTACTTCCACAGCAGTCACAGCCCACCCCACGTGAGAAGCAATGTGCTTAATGGCTGCAAAGTGGCCCATGTGCTAGTTCAAGGGGACGGGCTGAGGGGAGGGGCCTTTCAGCAGACACTGTGGTTTTAGGCTGGTGGGATTTGTTCTTCCAAACTATGTAACTGTAACTGTGTCTTCCCACTTAATATTACATTTGAATAAAACAAGTTGTCACTGATAATCAGATTATGGAAAATATGTAGAATTAGATGGAGGGTAGATAGTCTCTGAGCTCTTCAAACAGACATTAATGCATGCGTGTGGAAATTCTCTCTCTCCCAAATATAAAGTATTAACAAGAAAACCAGTCTTTCTGTAACCTCTAATTTTTGAAGGTTAAATACACATGCATAAAGCTAATTTTATAAAATACTATCCTCTTTTTCTTGGAATTTTTCACACTCTGAAGATCTAGAAGCTTTACAATCAAGTTTTTTAAAATTATTTTTTGAAACAGGGACTTGGTATATACTGCAGGCTGGCTTGAACTCATTACATAGCCCAGGCTGGCCTTGAACTCCAGGCAGTCCTCTTGCCTCAGGCTCCTCGAGCATTTGGATTACAGGTGTGTACCACTATGCCCGGCCAAGTCTGTCTTCTAAGATCAGTCTATGCATTAATAGGTGTCTAGAATCTAACAGGCTGAGTCCTCAGCCTGCAATCATACTGACTGTGTTTGCTTTCCTGTTAAGATGTAGAATGGACAAGAGCTGGGCATGGTGGCATACACCTGTAATCCCAGCACCCAGGAGACTGAGGCAGGAGGATCACCATGAGTTCGAGGTCAGCCTAGGCAACATAGTGTGTTTAAGGCCAGCCCAAACTACACAGCAATGCCCTGCCTCCTAAACAGAACAAAACAGGAACTGAAAAAACAAGGAGTCTGGATGATTCATTAAAAGGCAAATAAAATCGTCAATGCTACTGCGTTATGATGCCAAAATCTACTTGAAAATGGGAAAGTTTTTCGAAAAAAACAAAAGCTATTCAGTAGAGCCACAGGCATGATGGGTAGTGATTCTATAGTGACATTATCACCTGTTACATCGCTCTGCTTAATGACCTGGTAGACAGTGACACGCAGTGTCTTTGAGCAACCCTGGGGGTCTGCATCTGCCACCAGATTTGTGGATTTGAGAAGGCAGATAGGAAGCTGGAAAGATCCAAGAGGAAGTTTGCTCTTAACTCCTGATTGTTAGGATTCTGAAAACTGCACGTGTTCTCCTGGGGCAGGACTGGGGGCTGAACTTGGAGTCTTGCATAGGCTGGGGAAACGCTCTCCCACTGAGCGACACCCCCAGCCCTGGAAACTGCACCTTCATCATTGGCTGTTCCAAAGGAAGACACCCGGGGCAGGAAAAAGGCCTGTACATATCAGTACCACATCAGAGGAAGAGCTGAGAAAAACCATTAGCCTTTTTAGATTCTTGAGATTACAATTTTCACAGGGTGCTTGCTTTGGCCAGTGAGAACAAAGCAAGCACAGAGGTGGTGGTGGTAGATAAATTGAAAACCTGTGTTTCTTCCGAACTGGCTCCCCTTCCTCATTCTACCCAAATTTCTGACACTGCTGCTAAGAGTAAATCAGCTTGAGAAACCAAATACACACAAACCTGGGGGCAAGTTTTATTTGGAGAAGAGATCTAATTCTGCTGAAGTGGGGTTCTAGGGACTAAGTCGTTTCAGAGGTTCAAAGGTGTGTTTCCGAATCAACAGACAAACCCACATTAAAAGGAAGCTGCTTTTAGATAGGGCTGGGCAGAGCTGCCAGATGTCAGTTCTTAGAAACAGCCCCACTCCCCAGGAGATCAGGCGGGATGGACTCAGGGCCTGCGGAAGGAAACGTCTTTTAAATAAGTTAGCTCTGTGACCAGTGTTCACTCCTTAGAAAATGCAGTACAGTAATGAGTCCCACTGGCAGGGGTGGGAGGCAGCACCATTCTCCCAGGGAGTTTCTGGGATCCAGGGTCAGCGGTTGTTGGTGTATGGCACAAAAAATAAAGAGTGTCGCGGGGTGGGGAGGGAACATCGGGCAGTCCTGCCCCGCCCTCGACTGGATTGAGGAGAGCTGTGCGCTGCAGCGTCTTTGGGAGAACATTTGAGAGTTCAAAGACAAAAACCCCAGTCTTATTCTCCAGAAAGTTCACCCCTGGAAAGAGTTCAGCCTCATCAGGGCTCCCAGGGCGGGCTACGCCGCCCATCCACTTCTGTCTCCACATGGTACAGGACGTCGGCCAGCGTGTGCTCCACCACGGCGCCCCAGCCCATGTCGCTCATCTGCAGGGGACAGACAGGGGGCGGAGTTAGCGGAGCGCAGAGGGAGTGCGAGGTGGGCTGCAGGCCGATAGCACTACTCACAGGGTGGTAGGTGAGATCCTTTGGGGGGTACTTGAAGCACGGTCCAAAGTTAATGGAAACCTGGAGTTATGCAGTTCAGGCAGACACGGAAAGAATATCAAAAAGTTAATCTGATATGTGAAAATGTCCACTGTAACTACGATGCTCAGGATACAAACGTAACAAATGAGATATGTATTACTATTGCTAAAAGTGGTCAAAATCCTAATATTCATCAAGAACTGGGTAAAGACAGATGTGTATTAATTTCTGGTAAAGACTAAAGATTTCCTTATTTTACCTTCTTCAATGGTGCTACTGACAGACTAAAAAATACATGGAAATTGCCATGTGTCAACCTTTTTTTAAAGGCAAACAGGCCCTAATGATTGTTCCTTTCTTCTTTTTTTATGAGACAAGATCTGGCTCTGTAGGTCAGGCTGGGCTTGATCTCACTATGCAGTCTATGGTGGTCTCAAACTCATAGTGATCTTCCTGCCTCAGCCTCCTAAGTGCTGGGATCACAGGTGTGCACTACTATGCCTGGTTTTGGATCATATTCTTTAACAAACAATCTGTGTAGCCACTAACAGCTCCTAATAAAGGTAGGTCATTATACCTGAAACTCTAGCGGAAACTGTGAATACACATGCACAATATACGCATATTTTGAAACTATGAAGGGTATGTACAGTCTGACCCGGACAAAGACCCCCCTGCCCCAGTGTGTTTGAAGGAAAAGCATGTGCATGCTAACTGCACAGTCTTTATCCAAGGGTTTACTTCCTAAAACCCCACCAAACAGTACAGAGACAAGGGCAGCACATGCCCGTGGACCCTGAAGCTGTTCAGGCTTCTTTCCAGAGCTCAATAGCTTTTCAGTAAAATCCACACATACTTTTTTTTTTTTTGAGACAGGGTCTCACTCTGTAGTTCAGGCTGGCCTTGAGCTCACTTTGTAGCCCAGGCTGGCCTCGAACTCACAATGATCCTCCCGCCTCAGCCTCCCGAGTGCTGGGATTACAGATGTGCGCCACCATGCCCAGATACTTTTTTTTTTGAGACAGGGTCTCACTGTGTAGTCCAGGCTGGCCTTGAACTTGTAGCAATCCTTCTGCCTCAGTCTCCCGAGCACTCAGAACCCAGTCATACTTGTTGTTACAGAATAAACACAGATAGGATACATACCGTGCAGCTCTTGTACAGTGAAATAGCCGGAAAGTAAACTCCCTCAAAAATATCTTTGTAAGCCACACCTTGATTGACACCATTTTTATAAAATATTATCTGAAATTGTAAAATTCAGAATTTTAAAAAAGAACAAACAGAACTCACTTGGAGAACATGGAAGGAGTGCTGCTTCTAGACTAAAAATACAGTAGATTCCAAGAATAATATAGTGTTTATGTAATAACTGTATCTTAAATTTACATACTTTTTCCTTTCTCTTTTTTTTTTTGTCTTTTTGAGATAGGTTCTCACCATGTAGTCAATGCTGGCCTTGAACTCGCAGCGATCCTTCTGCCTCAGCCTCCCAACTGCTGGGATTCCAAGTGTGCATCACCATGCCCAGCCACATGATACTTTCAGTTTCTCCAAGTAAAATTAAGGTAAACATGTACTAATCCAGTTGACTTCAGGTTTTTTATCTGCCTTCTGAATTCCTATGTCACATATACCAAACTGTTCTACATTAGGTTATTTATTGTATTTTGCCTAAAAGAAGTAGGTGAGCCTGCCCAACCCCGTGGGAGCACACCACTGAAGCTCACTTTTCTACTTTTTCCTGTCATCAAGCTCTAATTTGTTCTTTTAACTTTGAAATTTTCTTGGAGTCTTCTATTGTAGAAGATGAAGCCTCATCTTTTTTTCTTTCTGAAACAGGGTCTCACTAAGTGTTCAGACCGGCCTTGAACTCACTATGTAGCCCAGGCTGGCCTCAAACTTGCAAAGTCCCCTGCTCAGCCTCCCAGGTGCTGGGGTCAAAGGCACAGCCAGCTGAATTCTCTTTTTCTTTATGCTTTCTTTCTTGCAATTACCCTGAGTATTTTCTCTTAACCACAGGACACAGAGAGATGGTCTTCAGAAAAGACTCCTTTCCCTTCCCAGCAAGAACTACCTTCTCCTGGCTGTATTCTCCAGCTACATCATACCTAGATTAACTGTCTCCTTTTTATATAGTCTTTTTCCCCCTAAAGCAACTGGGATTCTAATTTGACTTTTCCTATACTCCTTTATACTCTCTATTGCTATCCCAGGTAAAGCCACTGCATTTTTATTCATTTTTAATTTGTGTGTGTGTGTGTGTGTGTGTGTGTAGACGTCAGTGTGTGTCATGGTGATAGTGGTACTGGGAATTAAAGCCAGAGTCTTTCTCACTGAGTTCACCCCCAGCCCTTTCCATTTTTTATTTTTTGCTGAGCTGCCCAGGCTAGCCTCCAACTTGTAAGCCTCCTGCCTCAGCTTCCCCAGCTGCTCAGACAGGAGTGCACCATGACCATGCCTGGCACGTCACAGCATTTTCACACAAATGCGTCTCTAGCTCTCTCCAGCTCTCTCTCTGCCTCCCTTCTCTCCCTCCTCCAGGGCTTTGGCCACCCTTCTGGGATGGTGCTGTGACCCAGGCTGGCTTGTCCCCTGCCCTGATCAAGGAAAGAGGCAGGGGCATTCAGGGCACAGGAGCCGCCACTTCCGCCCTTGCCCCTGGCCACACTGCGAGGCCCCTCCCCAGGCGCGTGGCTCCCTCTTTACTGGGCGTTGCCCTGGGGAACGGATGGGGACAGTGGTCTGTTCTGTCTTTTCTCTAGAGTGCTCAGGACAGACACCGTCCCCGAGAGCAGCAGTGCCAGGCTCCCCCGGAGGAGCTGCAGCTGGCGGTGCCACCTGAACACTCAACGCCCTCCCCCAGGCTGCACTCTCCCTGCTCCCATCATTTCCCTGCTTGTCAAACAGCACTGCTGAGCGTGGCTCGCTCACCTCGCTGTGGGGCGTCTGCTTTAGGCTCTTCTCCGCTTTATCCACGAAATCTTTCTCCTCGAAGTACAAGTAACTCTTGAACTTTATCAAAGCCTTGCAAACCAAAAGCAAAAAGAGGCACAGTGAAGAACCAGCTGCACGCTGGAGACAACCAAGGCGAGCTCACACACACTACACGCAGTCCTCGTGCCCCACAACGGAAGTCAGGAATCCGCAGTGCAGGTTTGGTCAGACTGTGAACTACTGCGGGCCTCTCACATGCTGGGTATGAGTCCACCCCTGCCACATCCCTTCATCCCTCCTCCTCCTTTTTATTTTATTTTGAGACAGGCTCTCACTAAGTTGTCCTGCTACCCTAAACTTGTGATCCTCCTGCCTCAGTCTCCTGAGTAGCTGGGATAACAAGTGTCTATCATCACATTTGGCTTACTATGTACTTCTTAAAAAATACCAGTCAGTCATATTTGTTAAACATCTTTTAAAGGTGCTTAGTAAGAAAATTTGTAAGGAAATACATACAAGTAGATGTTCTTACCATAACAAATATTCCTGTAAAAGAGGTTAAATTAGCTGAGTGTGGTAGTGCACACCTATAATACTAGCACTTGGGAGGCTGAGGCAGGAGGACTGACACAAGTTTGAGGCCAGCACTGGCCAGTCTGAACTACTTTCTCAAAACAAAACAAAGCAAAAAAAAGAAGCTAAACTAATTCATACTTTTTAAATAACCTCAGTGGAAAAAATAAGGATTATCCAGAGCCTAAAACCCATAGTGTGGATACCTTTTCTCTGCTAGCTTCTCATTTCTCCCACAGGTGACTCCTGGGCCCATGTAGCTCTGTATTCCCAAATGAATGTATAACATCTAGTACATTTTAAAACTGAACTTCTCAGTAGATGCATGTACTAGGCATAGTTTTTAAAAAGCTCACAAGATACATAAACACATAAAATGGAGAGTATCTCTCTCCATCCCCACATCTTACTGCCAGTTTCCCTCGCATGGCTCCAGTGTGCCCGTGCTCTCCTGGAGAAGCTAAAGCACATGCTGTACCGGGGTCTTGAAAGTGAGGAACACGCATCAAAAGTGCACACCAGACAGACAAAGAACAACGCATGGCAAAAACATACTCTAAGTTTTGTTTCACACCATTTTTTTTCCATTTTTGAGACAGGGTCTCACTATGCAGTTCAGGCTGGTCTTGAACTCACTTTGTAGCCCAGGCTGGCTGTGAACTTGCAAGGAACCTCCTGCCTCAGCCTCCTGAGTGCTGGGATTAGAGGAGTGTGCCACTATGCCTGGCTGCTTCACATCTTGAGTGTATCACTCAGCTGTATACACTAGAGGTTGTTTATATCAATATATATGTAGTTTTTTAATAGATCCATAGTATTCTATCTTATGGATAGCTTGTTAACAAATTAAAAGTACAGTCTAAATGAAAAAGTAGAAGTTTTTATTTTAATTAATTTATTTTTGGCTGGTACTACAGACATGTGCCACCACAGCCGGTAAAAGGCAAAGCATTTTAAAGATCTTTGCACCCCTCCCCAGACGGGTGTACACACTGCCCTCTGGGCCTCCAGGCACGTGCAGTGCTTTTTAGGGGCCTGAAGGCAGGGTGTGAGCCAAGGGTCAAGAGTGTGGTGTGCTTCGGGGGCTGGGGATTTAGCTCAGCGGCAAAAGCGCCTGCCTGGCAAGCGCAAGGTCATGAGTTCGGTTCCCAGTACCGAGGTCATGAGTTCGGTTCCCAGTACCGGAGAAAAACCAAAAAAAAAAAAAAAAAAAAAAAAAAGAGTGTGGTGTGCTTCGTAAAACGAGATCTGGGGCTGCTCCTTTTCTGAACAAATTTAGAGGACACCCACTACCCAATTTATTTATTTATGTACATGTTTTTCTGTGGCAGTGCTGAGGGCTGACCCCAGGGCTACGGGCCTGCTAGGCAAAGGCCCTCTGCTGAGCCCTAATGCAGAGACATACTCTAAAGCCTCAGTGAGCCAGACACTGTGGCACCGCGTGAAGTACCACACACAGGCAGGTGGCAGAGTCCAAAGATAAATCTGTTTAGATGGGCATTGGGTTGTCATTACAGACACAACAGAAAGCCAGTGGAGAAAGGAAAGAGGCTGACAAATGGTGCTGCAAAACTTGGGAGCCCTGTGGAAAAAAAGAACCTTGACTTCCACAGCACAGAAACTAATTCAAGGTAAATCGGAGACTGACGCGTGAAAGCTAAATGCAAGCTTCCTTTCTTCTCTCTCGTTTTTTTTTTTTTTTTTCTTTTTTTGAGACACGGTTTTGCTATGTAGTTCAGGTTGGCCTTGACCTCACTACGTAGCCCACTTTGGCCTTAAAATCACGGTAATCTTCCTGCCTCAGTCTCCTGAGTGTTAGGATTACAGGTGTGCACCACCATGCCTGGCTGAAATGTGGTAAATTAGACTTCATAACAATTAAAACTTGGGTAAACCAGAAGATACTATTAAGAAAGTGAACAGATGAGTGCCAGAGAAGGCAAAAATATTTTAAAAATACATTATCTGACAAATGATCATAATTGAGAACTTATAGGGAACCCTTATAAATAAATAAGATAATCCAGTCAAAAAAATAAACCAGCCAGGTAGGAGGACTGCTACAAGTTCAAGGCCAGCCTGAATTACACAGCAAGACTGCCTCAAAAAACAAACTAAAACATAAAACTAAACAAGGTTGAATGCTAGCTAATGAAACACATCCTCATTTTTGCCAATTTCTCTGTAGTGCATAAAAAGGATGAGTAGGGGTCAGAGATTTAGCTCAGTTGTGCAGTGTCTGCCTGGCAACTGTGAGGTCCTGAATTCCATTCTCAGTACTACCTCCCCCTCCCCAAAAGGACGAAAGGTTCGTGGAAAAAGGGATCTAAACATGTAAATGGCAGAATCTAGGGGAGGGGTATTCGGGCACTGACTTAAATTCTTTCAACTCTCACGATGTTTAAAAATGTGCCAAACATGATCTAAGTGGGGAGGAACTGTGGGTGGGCAGTGTCCCCAGCACCCAGGCCGAGGCTCAGGCACTGACTGCCAGGCCTTCACAGCAGGCACCAGGTGGGACACTCACCTTGTCTTTGTAAGTATCCGGCAGCGACTTTGCTGTCTCTGTGTCTTCGGGAAGACTGATATAAAATCCCAGGACATCTCCCTGTCCGTAGCCAGAAGAGTAGTGTTTGCCAATGGACTGGTGAAATTTGGTTCCCTTTTTGCTCCGCCAAGAATAGCTAAATTTATCGTAACCTAAAGGAGCTTGAAGGTTACCTGTCCCAATAAAAAGATATATAAAAAAATTAGACACCTGCAGGTCAACTCTGGTTTCTAAACCAAACAGATTCTACTGCCTTTTATTATATATTCTTTTGGCAATTTTGTAATTCTCAAAGTATTCCAGGGACTGCAAACCAGCTTATCCTCCAGACACAGAATTTTATGTCCCAGTCAGGTATGATGTCCACAGTAGGGTTCCAGCTTACCTAAGGGCTGGGACCATCCCAGCCTGGCAGCAGTGTCCGGTGGCATCTCATCCACAGTGATTTCAAAATACCACGCGCCCTTCCGCACCCCGTGGGAGGCCCGCACCATGGAATAGCCCTTCTCTCCAACCACAGTCAGCCGGTCGTCAGAGATCTTCAGCTGGGGAGCTGCAGCGAAGGAGATTCAAACAGAGGCTGCAACTCACCTGAGACACTTGGAGATGAAGCCCTGATGCTGCTCAGTGAGACAGCACAGTAAGTCAGATATTAGTTCAGGAGTCTAACAATACCAAGGTAAGATACTGACAAAAAAGGAGAGGGGAGAAAGGAAGAAGATGATCTAGTTTTTAGATGATCTAGTTTTTATTAAATGCAATTATATTTAGATGCCAGGTTAAAATTAATTACACTGCATATGCATTTTCCTTTAATTTAATGAACCAATTAGACACTGTTTTGAGTAAACTAGCCTTAAAAAATTTTAAATTAAAAAAAAAAACTTTTTTGGTAGTACTGGGGATAGAATCCAGGGGCTCTCTACCACTGAGTTACACCACCACCCTTTTCTGATATTTGAGACAAGATCCTCCTATATACTCCAGGCTGGCCTTGGTACCAAGGCCCTGAAGTCATAATCCTCCTGCCGTAGCCTCCTGAGTAGCTGGAAGAAATTACAGACATACACTACCATAACTGACTAAAACATTTAACTTTTTAAGCTTGGATGTAGCTCAGTGGTAGAACATTTGCCTAGAATGTATCAGGTCTGGGCTCAATTCAGAGAACTGAAAAAAAAAATTAACTTTTTTTTGTGTGTGTTTTTTGAGACAGGATCTTACTATATAGTTCAAGCTAGCTTTGAACTCACTATGTTGTCTAGGCTGGCCTCAAACTTGTGGTGATCCTTCTGCCTCAGCCTCCTAAGTGCAATTGCAGGGATTACAGGTGTGTACCATCACACCTGGCCCTACAAAAATAAACTTTTTATTTTACAATAATTTTAGACTTTAAAAAGTAGTATAAGCCAGTTGTGGTGTTACATTCCTATAATCCCAGCTACTTGGGAGGCTAAGGCAGGAGGACTAGACCAGCCAGCCTAGGTAATATAGTGAGATTCCATCTAAAAGACAAACGTAGAGTTCTTATATACCTTTTAGTCAGTTTCCCCTAGTGTTACTTACAACCATAACAGAGATGTCAAAACTAACTAATTATCCAGCCATAGTGGCACATTCCTGTAATCCTAGTGTTCTGGCAGGCTGAGGCAGGAGCTTTAGTCTGGAAAACTTAACAAGATAAGAAAAGGGCTGGAGATAGCTCAGTGTGAAGGGCCTGAGTTCAGTCTCCAGTATAAAACAAAACAAATTAAAAGAAAACATACAGAAACCCAGAAAAACTGCCGCTACAGAAGAATCAAGAGAGCTCAGGAGTTCAAAGCTAGCCTGGGCAAAAAAGTGAGAATTTGTATCAAAAACTAACAACCTCCCCCCAAATTAACACTGATACAATACTATTAATTAAATTACAGCAAAGTCAATTAACAAATAACACCCCTTTTCTTGTTCAGGACCTAATTCAGCACTGTTAAGTGTTAGATCACCACTAAGGGAATATTAACAGGATACTAAAGAGCTCGCCTCCTCTCAAAACACTTAATTATGCAAGCAAAAACGTAACTTTACAGCGCATAAGCCTGACAGACATCACTTTTGTCAAGCGACCATCACCAGTGCTAGGACAAATTAACACTCAACAGAATGTGAGGAAGAACACAGCTCACTTTGGTGACATTCCTGCCCTGATGGCATACCTTGAATCACAAGCTGAAACTGAGGAGTGCTCTATAAAATAATTAGCCTGTAACTTTCAAAAGTACCAAAGTCAAGAAAATGAAGGAAAGATGCAGGAATGTTGGGATGGAAGAAGTCTCAGGAAACATGACAGTGTGGCAAATGACTCAAGGTCCTCACCAGAGCTGGGCAGACGCCTGTACCACTCTCAGACCTCCAAAATGGTCAGCTAAACATTGTCTCCACACAAAACAAAGACAGTACCCAATGCCCGCATCTTTTCTTTCTTTCTGGCCTGCACTCACTATGTAACCCAGGCTGATCTCAAACTCTCGGCAATCCTCCTGCCTCAGCCTCCGAGTGCTAGGATTACAGGTGTCCACCACCATGCCCAGCCAGATCTTAATTTCTAAATCTCACTTTTCAATAAAAAAAAAAAAATTCATGCGTTAATGAAAAATTAGCAACTACTAGGTTTGGGGCATAAAAAATACAAGAATATCTTGTGATGCTACAAAGCAAGAAGTACTTTACAAAAAATGAGGCATAATGAATGAGGCTTACAAGATAAACACCTATGTGTCTATGATGACATAAGTAAACAATTAAATAAAGGGAGTAAGAGCTGGGCTTGGTGGAACACCTATAGTCCTATAGTCCCAGCACTCGAGCTGAGGCAGGATGATCGTTGTGGAGTTCGAGAGTAGCCTATGCTACCAAGTGAGTTCAAGACCAATGTAAATGACACAGTGAGACCCTGTCTCAAAAAGACAAAAAAAAAATAAAAGGGAGAAAGAAAAGAAAAAATAGAAAAAGTAGTAAGACAAACATCACAGTAATAATTGTTTAAAGCAAGATCCACTGATAAGTGCTGAATCAGTGAACAAAACTTTATGGAGAACCAGCATACATGGATGGTCTCAAAGTATTCTCCTTGGGGCCGGGAATATAGCTCAGTGGTGCAAGTGCCTGCCTGGCAAGTGCAAGGTCCTGAGTTCAATCCCCAGTGAAAAAAAAAAAAAAAAGGTTAAAATGATTTAAAAGAAAGTATTTTCCTCAAGATATTTACTAACTGTAAAAGCAAAGACAGTAACTTTATACTGGAGAATCAGCAGAAGCACTTTAACTAAGTCATCATGGTCAACATAATCAGCAAGACATATCAACATCACAAACCCTAGTAGGACTCCTTCCTGTGTTATTCTTCTCAAAACTTTATAATCTCAGTCTAATCATGAGGAAGCATTAGACAAAGTAACCGATTAATAAACATAAAAAGTTTCACTGTCATGAAAGATAAGCAATGGCTGAAGGAAAAATAACTAAATACAATGTGAGAACCTAGAAAAAAAAAAAAAGGATGGTCTGGCCAGGTGAAGTAGCACGCACCTATAATCCCAGCACCCAGGAGGCTGAGGCAGGAGGATCGCTGAGAATGTGAGGCCAGCCTGGGCTACATTGTGAGTAAAGGCCAGCCTGAACTACAGGGCAAGACCCTGTCTCAAAAAACTAAAGAAAATGAAACAAAAAAGAGATGTTCTGATTGAAAACTTAAATCCTTAATTAAAAACTTTAATTTTGGCAATACAGGTTGAGTATCCCTTATATAAAATGCCTGAGACTACAAGTGTTTTAGATTTAAAAGACTTAGATTTTGGAAAACTCATATAGACTTCACTTGGGTGAGCATCCCTAATCTAAAAATTCTAAATCTCAAATGCTCTGAAATCTCAGTTTTTTTCTTTGTGTGTGTAGTACTGGGGACAGAACTCAGGGCCTTCACATTAATCTACAACCCCAGCACTTTTTTATTTTGAGACAGGGTATTGCTAAATTGCCCAGACTGGGCTTGAATTCACAACCCTCCTACCTCAGCTGCCTTGGGTGCCAGAATTGCAGGCGAGAGCCACCATGCCCAGGTGAAATCTACATTTTGGGTATCACCTTGGCACTCAAAAGGATTTGGGTTTTGAAGCATTTCAGATTTTCAGATTGGGGATGTGTAACCTGTTGTACCAGTGTAACAGTATTCCCCAATGTTAATTTCCTGATTTTGATTAACTGTATTATGATAATGTAAAATGTTATTACGAGAAGTTTGATATTCAGAGTCTCTGGATGTATCACTTTTAGAAATTTACTGTAAGTCTTAAAAAACTATACACATATATATAAAATGGCTTACAATTTACAAGAACAGAGATAGAAATCATCTCTTGCACAATCACAATCTGGCTAAGGTTAGTTAGAGGGCTGGCAGTGGTAATAGAGTGAGACGTGTGCATAACCCTAGGCCTGTCAAAGATGGTAAGGCCAGCTCAAGGTCACCCTGGTCCATGTGATCATGATATTTCATACCTCGGTCATGCAGGGCTAACAAAACCCGTTCATACAGGCAGGCTCTGTAGAGGTCTCCAGGAATAGGTTTTCCTGCCCAGCAGTCGAGTTCTAGCTTCTCGGGGTCAGGGGCGTGCGGATCAGGCTCAGCTAGGATATACCGATAGCCATCTTTGTTGAATGGGTGTTCCAAGGGGTAGCCGTGAGGGGGAAGACGCTGGGCAGAAAACAAAGGGTCACTGCAGAGAGGAAAGAATAAAATCAAGGACTCAAACTCCCTCTAGCTCAACCACATTCTACTGTGTAAGAAAAGCCTCTGATTTATTACATTTCAGCCAGAACACATGTAACTTCTTAAATGTTTTCTGTAACTCAGACCATCCTGCCCTCTGCAGGTGACACAAGGAAACGAATGGGATTAAGCTTTTTGGGCAAAGCAGTCTGGGCTAAAATTAGTCTTTCTAGGGACTGACAAGTAATTCCTCAGCAACTGACCACTCCTGGTGGATACTCTGTCCACAAAATAGAGCCGGTACACACTAGAGGAGAAAGGGAGAAGGCAAATGAGGGTATTCAGGCTGCTTTCCTTTAGTATATTCATTATTATGAACTAATAAACAGAAGCTCAAAGACAGCACTTATTATCTGTTGTCTGTCTAAGTAAAAAGTAACTGGATTTCATCACCTGAATATAAAACAAAGACTACGGGAGAAGCCCAAAACAGGAGAGGCAGCAAGTTAAAGAGCTAAAGTTCAGTAGGTTTTCTTTCCTTCTGTCTCACCTATCCTTTCTCAGGATGCCTTAGAACTTAATGCCCCAGGCTTATCCAAGGGATGCTGGTTTGGGATCCTTTTTGTAGGAGCAAGTTCATAAACTAGGATACCGTGCCTGGGGTAATTTTGCCCCTGAAAGTACTCATGAGCTGGGCATGGTGATGCACACCTGTAATCCCAGCACTCAGGAGACTGAGGCAAGAGCATCACCACAAGTTTGAGGCCAGCCTTGGGTATACAGTGAATTCAAGGCCAGCCTAAACTACACAGTGAGACTCTGTCTCAAATGACAAAGCAAAACAAAACAAGACAGCTAATACCTGGTGGGCATGGTGGTGCAGGCATATAATCCAGAATTTGAAAGGCTGAGACAGGAGGATAATCATGAGTTCAAGGCCAGTCTGGGCCATACAGTGAGACCCTAACTTAAGAAGAAAGAGAAAAGAAGGAAGAAAGAGGGATGGGGGGATAGAGGGATAGAGGGAGGGAGGAAGGAAAGAAGGAAGGAAGGAAGAGGGAGGGAGGGAGGAAGAGGGAGGGAGGGGCTTCGTAGCTTCAGACTCTAGGGCAGTGATGGCGAACCTTTTAGAGCTTTCAATGATAACAAACAGCCCATTGAGGCACGTGTGCCATAGTTTCACCACCACTGCATAGAACTACTCAAGAATATGTTCCCCTCTAGTGGGCTTTGCTGGCACCACATGCAAACAGTGGGCCCCGGGGGGGCGCTCTCCCCACCTCCGGGCCTTCTTGGTGGTCCCCGTGGTCCCGCCATCCTGCTGTTTGCGCTTAGCTCCTCTTCCTTTTCCACTGCTTCCTGCCGTGATTCCCCCTTTTAAGAGAAAGCAGATGACGTTCAATGAACTGAGATAAAAGCACCTTGTGGACACTGAAATTGTGAGGACTGACACACCCAAAGTGCATTTGTGTGACACCATGAGATTTCCTTCCCAAAGGCATCAAGTGTCACCCTGGCTCTGAGAGCATCTGCCGAGTGTGAGTGTGAGTGTGAGTGTGAGCGTCTCAGTCAGAGCACTAGGCTCCGGCAGCAGGCATAAACAACGCTAGCAGTCATGAAATCTGTGTTACAGTTTCAGTCTTCGGTCCCTTCGGAGCCACAACCACTAGTCTACAGACTGAGGGTGTGACACAAATGCATCCACACTTGTGTGGACTTCAAGCACACACCACCCAGGTCAAAACAAACACCCACAATGAAAACATCCTCACTGTAGGTCCATGTTCACTTGCTTGAACCGCACAGTAAAGTTCATAAACATAACAGAGGCACAATATCTGCTAAAGCACTTAACTTGAAGATCCAACAAGACAAAAGTACATCAAACATGAAAAACAAAAACAGAAGTACTAAAAAGGTGTTTCTCTCCAGTACTGCTAGCATCCATCGTGGTCATACATGGTGCTAGTGAGAAAGGCTTTCAATTTAGTAGACAAATTTTGGTTCCATGTACATTCTCCAGTACATTTATTAAGAGTGTGCCAGTATGTCAAATTCAAATTAGACTAATCTGGCTTGTGGAATTAAGGGCAAAATAATATCAATAGACAATTTATATATTTTATATAAAACAATTTAGCTACATTCTGAAGCCAAAAGAAATAGTACCTTGTGTATTCTGAAATATGTACTGTCTATGTTTTTTTCCCCCTTCAAGAAACCACCCCCGAACTGCAGGAAAACACCTTTCCATAAACAACTGCATAGAATAGTATATGTACATGTGGGCCAAGCTCGGAAACCATCAGCAATTCTGCTGCAATAAGAAGTATCAGGACATTGAGGGGAGATCATATTCTGCATACACAGGACCAGAATTTTGCAGTTTCTTCCTATGAACACATCGGATATTGTTCCTGTTTCTCGTAATAGACTTAACATTACATTGTTGCAGTGTCATTAGTGATCACAAAAATGATTAAATTTTTTTTGTGATGTTGGGGATCAACAGGACCTTACACATGTTAGGCAAGCACTCCATCACTGCAGTATGTATTTTCAGCCTTAATTTTTTTTTTTTTTTTACTGTCATTTTAGAAGTTTTAGAACCATCTTAAACAGAATAAGCAGTACTAAGGAGACTGCTGGTCATGTTAGGCAGAATATGACAACACATAAGCTTTTAATTACTAACATTAAACTGGAACTACCATTTCATAGTAAATGCTATTGCCACCGCTTTCACAATGCTTTAAAATTATTTCATTTTAGCTTCTACCACAACTCAGCAAAAAGCATTTTCCAAGCCACAAAATACTTAAGTCTGTGAGGCTGAAAGAAGACAGAGGAGGAATTCACCTCCAAAAGTGGCTCCACCTGTAAGAACAGAAGTGGCACCATATATTCATCAAGTTGTAACAATTGAACAGGGAAAATGTGGTGTAAAAAGATAAATAATACACTTAGCTATTTCTAACCCATCCTGGATTAACTGTGGAAAAGATTTAATATTGAGATGCTTCCAGGCCAAAGACAAGCCAATGGTGCCATGTGCCAAAGGAACTGCTAGCCTGGGCTCCCGGCTAACCTGGGCGCTCGATAAGTTATCATTAGTAATGAGTAGCATTTCCCATTAGATGGGTTATCAAACAGAAAAGTACATGCCACAACAAGTGATCCATACAGAAATGTTTAAGTTTTAGGGCAAGAAAAATTAGAAGATGGACACAGAAGCTTGTTAGTAATAGCTGAACCAAGGAAAGAGTGGAGAGCAACTGAATCTTTCTAAATCTGTTATAGCGATGTAAATGGGAAGTCTAATACAAACACTGTAAATCTAACCTTAAATTGTACCTTGTATTTACACTAAATCTCTTTCACTTAAGACTAAAGTGTGTTGCAAAGTGACAATAGTTCTCCTCTATTACCATCTGTCAAATTCTTGGCTAACTCCTAAAAACTGAGTTTTCAACTTTAAAGCACTAGCAAATATCCAACTGAAGGGACCACCTAAAGAATGCCCAAATTCGAGGCACATATGGTTTCAACAGCTTACAAAAATTTCAGCAATTAGACGTATAAACACTTACCATTTAGATTCCCACTGGTAGATACAGCACTGCTTTGTTTTTGGTTGTCATAAGCAGGACCAATGTTACTAAGATCCTAAAAGGAAAAAAAAAATCTAAGTAAAAAAGGAGGCTAAACTGTGTGTGGATGTGCATGTCTATGATTCCAGCACTCTGGGAGGATGAGGAAGGAGGGTTGCAAGTTAAATCCACGCTATGCAAATCAGCAAGATCCTGTCTGAAAAAAAAAAAGGCTAGGCTATAGCTCAGAACAAAGGTCCTGCATTAAATTCCTAACACGGCAAAGGAGGGAAAAACAAAAGAAAAAGGCTACATAAACAAGTTAATCTGGCAGAGTTGAAAACAGGAGGACTTCTCATAGCATAGGAACTAAAACCTTAAGAGTCTGAAATTTGCAGGGGTCTTGGGGGCTTCAGGAGGCAGCAGGTAACACGTGCACAGTAGGCTGAGTGGTTTACAAATGGCTACAGATAGTGATCAGCCAAGCAACCGGGATGGAAAGTGCACGGGAAACAGGGGAGCCTACACCCCACTGACTAGGCTCCCAGGGGAGCACTGGCCTAATGTAGGCAGATCTTTCACAAGAGACAGAAACTTGAATTTCTGCAGGAAATCTCAAATTTTCAAAGATGATATATCAGCCTGCAGTCCCAGCTACTTAGGAGGCTGAGGCAGAGAATCACTTAGGCACAGGAGCTTGAGGTCAGCAGCAACAGAGAGTGACCCTGTCTCCAATCAATCCACTGATCAATCAATCAAGTCACTCTGAGGCATAGCTGGAGGGTCTGAACACCTTGTCTTTTTCTGTGGTACTGGGGACTGAACCCAAGGCTGCTGCAATGAGCTACATCCCCAGCCCTTTTTTTATTTTTGAATTTAATATTGACATATGGTCTCACTAAATCACTGGTTCAAACTTGTCATCCTTCTGCCTCAGCCCCTCTCAGTTCTGTTCCACCATGCCTGGCTACACCTGACCTTCTCAGCTGCCAAGTGTGACCCAAGAATAGAAATTTTCTTTCTCTTATTGTGCTACATGAGCAGTGCAAACTCTTCTCCTCAACAACTTTGTCTCCATAAGAACATTTTTAAGAGGAAAATTTAAGATGGCAGAAAGATTAGAAATAATTCAAAACCACGTATTTATACAAGTAAAAAAAATCCTTTGTGAAAATCCATAACATTTTGTGGAAGAGTCAGAACTAAAACACTAGCTTCCTAGTTCTATACATTCTTTCCACACACATCAATATTTATTTGGAATCCACGATGTCATGGCACCAAATATACAACTGTAAACAAAATCTAATATCCCTAAGTGACTTACAGGGAAAAAGACAATATGAAGCATATTAATGTACCTGATCCAAAAGCCCAAATTTGGGGTAATCTTCTTCTGGGTCCTTGCTCCCTGGATCGGGGTGTTCCTTTACCAAGAAAACATCTCTTTCTTTACTCTAAAAAGAAACAGCATCTTAGCATTAACGGGAGTCTTACACTTAGAAGTATAGAACAGATGATCACCAACTCTAAAAGTCAACTCTTCAGTGTAATCAAAGACAGTATAATTAGAAAATTAATATATGACTATCACAGTCTATATCTAGATGTGCAACCAAAGCCTTGTGCGCTCATGGGGGTGTCTTTCGGGAGGTGACTGGATCATGGGTGTGTGCTACTCATCACTGGATTAACCTACTACTGGGCTTATACCTCGATGTGATTTGGGATGTGAAGCCTGGTATAAAGAGGTGGGTTGCCAGGTGTGATGGGTGCATGCCTGTAATCCCAGCACTTGGGAGGCTGAAGCAAGAGGATTGTTGCGAGTTTGAGACCAGCCTGGGTTATAAAGTGAACTCAAGGCTAGCCTGAACTGCACAGAGAGACTGTCTCAAAAAGACTTAAAAAAAAAACCTGAGTTGGGACACTCTGGGTGTGGCCTGGCAGGCTTCTGCCTGTCATGCCATGAGCTGTTTCTCCTCTGCCATGCCAGTCTGCATTGGAGCCAGCCAACTATGGACTGAAACCTCTACAAAGTGAGTTACATAAACCTTTCCTCCTTTAACTGATGGGTGTTGGGTATTTTGTGTCCCAGCAACAAGAAAGTGACTACAACAATGATCATCAAAAATTTAAACCAAAAGAGAAACAAAGAGAGGCAGTTTTCATAGTCCTCACCTATCCTCTCACCCCACAGACAGGCACTAATAACTGGCTGCTGACTTCTTCTCAGATGTTCTCATTTATTTTTTTGTTTCTTTTTTGTTTGTTTTGCTTTATTGTTTGGAGACAGGCTCTTACTCTGTAGTGCGGGCTGGCCTTGAACTTGCATATACAGCTCAGGCTGGCCTCAAACTCATGGCGAGTCTCCTGCCTCAGCCTCCTGAGGGCTTGGAGGGAATACTGGTGTGTGCCACCATGCTCTGCTTTTGTTTCTTTAAGATAGTCTCGCTATGTGGTTCAGGCTGGGGCTGAACTCACTATGTAGCCTAGTCTGGCCTTAAACTTGAAGTGATCCTCCTGTCTCAGCCTCCTAAGTGCTGGGACTACAGGTGTGTGCCACTGTGCCTGGTTCTCATTTGTTTTAAATCAAAGAAAAACACTTGTTTTGTTGTTTTTTGAGACAGGGTCTTACTATGTAGTTCCAGCTGGATTCAGATTTATGGTGATCCTCTTGCTTCAATTTCCCGAGCAGGATTACAGGGGTGCACCACCATACCTGTTTTGTTTTGTTTTAATGTACAAACTGTACTTGTGGTTCTGGGAATTGAACCCATGGCCTTGCCTGTCCTAAGCACCATTCTATTGCTGAGCTATGTCCTCCCTACCCTGCCTCCAATTTCAATACAAAATTATACGTGCAAAGTGCAGTGGTCAAAGGTTTCTGTGCATAAAACTAGCGTGGCTATGAATGGTGCTCACTTAAAATGTGCAACTCACTGAATTTTTGTGTAAAAAAATGAATAAACTTGTATCTCATACTCTCAAAGATTTAAATCAAATTATTTACATTTTCTAGTCATCATATTATTTCATGCTAAGACTAAATAGCATTTAATTATTAAAAAGAACAATGTTTTCTAAATGTCAAGTCTAATCAACTTCAGTGTACTTACCATTGTTTTGACAATGTTATTCGGCCAAGTCATCTTTCCAGGTCTCTGTCTGGTCGTCATGCACTCCCAATATTTATCAATAAAGGGTATAATATCCTGGTGTTTAAAATAAAATATATTAAGACTTTTATAGGTACAACCAAAGATTTGGTCACAAAGAAAGAAAACTGGCATTTTCAAAGGCCTTGTTAGAATCAAAAGAAAAATCCATGTTTATTCTTTTAATCACTTGAACAAATATTTAATTGCTTAGAAATATATGATTATGGCCAGGTGTGGTGGCACACACCTGTAATCCCAGCACTTGGGAGCTGAGGCAGGAGGATCGTTGCGAGTTCGAGACCAGCCTGGGCTACAAAGTGAGCTCAAGCCCAGTCTGAACTCCATAGTGAGACCCTATCTCAAAAAGACCAAAAAAAAAAAAAAAAAAAAAAAAAGATTATGGAAATTAAAAACAACTGTACGAAATTTTTGCTATTTATAATTTATAATGCAATTGGAGGGAAAAGGTCTGTCACATTCCCTTGGTTGTCAACTGGAAGATGGCTCCTAAATTATCACCTCCTACTTGAGACATCTCCTTCCAGACATCCTACAGGTTCGTTCCTTCCTTCCTTCCTTCCTTCCTTCCTTCCTTCCTTCCTTCCTTCCTCCCTCCCTCCCTCCCTCCTTCTCTCTTCCTTCCTGCCTTTCTCTCTCTCTCTCTTTCTTTCTTCAGTGGTACTGGAGATTAAACTCAGGATTTTCACCCTGAGCTACATTCCCAGCACTCTGGGAGGCTGAGGCAGCAGGATCTCAAGTTTGAGCACAGCTTGGGAAACTTAAGAATTTGATGAGACCCTGTCTCAAAGTAAAAAATAAAAAGGCCTGGGGACATAGGTCAGTGGTAGAGCACCTCTGGGTTCAAGTCCCAGTATTGCAAAAAAGCAAAGAAAGAAACAAAAACCAAGTAATGTAATCTTGTGGTGGGCATGAGATGTTTGAAGCTGTAGCTGACATAACATAACTGTTTTACAGGAGACTTCTTAGGAGTACAGCCTAAAATAATGCTAAAGAACAACGTAAATACACAAATGGGCAACAGTCACTTACGATCAAGTATTGCATACGGCACACAGCACATGTGCTGTACTTTCAACGGCCAGCAGGGCCCATGAGCAACAGACCCACTGTGCTCTTGTCAGCAATGTCAGCAGTTTCACTGGTGAGCAACAGGAACTTTCTTGTGCACTCTTACAGGACCACTACCCTACATGCAATCTGCCATCAATCGAAGTGTCATTATGTGAGACATGACTCCCCATCCATTTAAAAGGAAGGAAGGATAAGGGAAAGCCATTTTTTTTAAGGGCCTTCACACTGAACTGTATCTCCACCTTTTAAAAATTGTTTACTTTGAAACAGGGTCTTGCTAAGTCACTAAACTACCCAAGCTGGGCTCACACTTGTGATCCTCTTGCTGGGCCTGGTGGTGCACACCTGTTATCCCACCACACTGGGAGGCTGAGGCAGGAGGATCACCAGGAGTTTCAGGACAGCCTGGGCTATGTAGTGAGTTCTAGTTCAGTCTGAACTACATAGTGAGATGCTGTCTCAGAAACAAACAAACAACCACAAAACCAAACTTGTGATCCTCCTGCCTCAGCCTTCCAGAGTGCTACGATTATAGACTGGGTCGCCATGCTCAGTAGGAAAGCTCTTCTTTACAGAACTGTTACAATAACTGTATTCTGTTTTTCATCCATCACTCAAATATCATGCCAAACAATACCATAGCAGACCCTACCCTCAAAGGAAAAATAAATTTAAAAAGGAACTGTTAAGATTAAAGTCATCACAAATATTTTTGTTTCCAGGTTTTGCTTTGTTTTTTTTGGTACTGGGAATTAAACTTGGGACCTTACGCCAGGCAGGTGCTTGTGCCACTGAGCTATATCCCTAGCCCAAAGTCATTACAAATAAATATAAGGTACAATCCTGATCAAGTCCTAGGTAGAGAAAACCATGAAGGATATTAAGGCAATAATACTGAGAAAATATTAATATGCTATATTAATACTATTATGCATTTATATTATAATAGCATTATACTAATACTAATACA